ATACAAATGGAACTGGCTGTCTACCCAATTTGAGTTTAATTCTTGTCACTGATATCCAGCAAAATAATATTTCTTCATTTATAATGATATGTATTTTGAGATAACTTTTCTAAAAATAGGATTCAAAACTTTCATAGAAAGTTTTAATAATTATGCTGGGAGCTAAGACCTTTAGTTATGTAAAGTAGTCTATTCAATAAATGCTTTGCAGTTAGAAACAATAGAAAGGGACAATACTCAGTATTTTCCAAATGTGAAGAGAACAGCAAAAAAATCTTTTAATAATCCCCTCTTCTCTGCCTCCCACATTGATCCATTTTGTATTGAACAAAGGCATATACATATCATTTTTGTTGCTGAATACATTACCCAGTTCTTGTTTAAACATGTTACTTCAGATTACATATGGCTGTAAAAATAACTGGTTGGACCAATTTAAGATGCTGATTATAATCTCAATTTTGGCATGAGGAAATTTATTACAAAACTTCTTTAGGACTGCAGATGTATCTCTGCCTCACAGCTGTAAGAAAAGGGTGGATTTGCAATGTTCCCAGTGTACAGATCTTAGTGAGTGTCTGAAAGACTCCTTAGCACAAAGCTAAAACATGTCACTAAAAATACATTGGTTTTTTTCTAACTTAGTTGGAAGGCAAATGGTGATAAAAAGAAAATTAGGAACAATGCTGCATGCCTATGCAATTAAAATATTCTTTCATGTGTAAATAAAATGCTTCCTTAATAGCCCCAAATATTTTTTTTTCAGTCTTTTGGGCTCAGTGGAATTTGGCAGGACTGGGCGTGGTTAAGGGTTGCCGGCATGTTGGATGACATTGGCTGTCATCTGGGCAGAGCCTGTGGGCTGGTGGGTAAGGCTGACTACACACACAGACATGATTAGAAGGGATGAAGATGTGGGGGTAGTTATGCACCTGCCTGAATTCCTGGCCACTCAGTCATCCCTTTTTATCCTCCATTCCCATTATTTTTACAAAATAGACTAAAAAAAACCAAAAATGGTGGAGGATGGAAGAAGACATGTCCATTTCATAACTCAGCCTTAACCACACAAAAGGGCTTTATTGATATGTTTTACATACTTTTGTTTAGTTGGGTATTATAACCACTAACTGCTGACCACTGAAACTAATATACTGCTTTCAAGAACATAAAACCTCAGCACACATCTTGGTGGATAAGTGTGAGAATAGCTGCATAACCATAGCACTTAGCAGCCAATACTCAAGTTCTTTCTTTAAGGACTACTTTAACCATGCTAAAAAAACCTCTATTTGCACAGATGTTGTTGTTTAACTGATATGCCCATAATGTGACTAGGTATTTCAAACTTAGTGTGTACTAAGCCAAGCAGTAAGTTTACCCATTCACTATGGCAGATGCCAGGCCCATGTGCACTAAAGAGCCCACAATTCTCAACTATGTGAAACAGACCCTTGCCTCTGTGTAAAAATGAGGTAGGACCAAAACCAAGAACTATCCTCCAGTGGTGCCAAAGCAGTGGTATTTCAAGTAGTTTTATATCTTCTGTGCATAGATATATGTGCATACATTCAAGATAGGATAAGAACTATAATAGAGGTATTAAAAAAAAGGGAAGAAAAACATAACAATCAGTCTTAATGATGTTGGCAAGTCTGAGGTTTTTTTTCAGGTTTACTAAGACGGGGTTCCTAAATTTTGGATCCTAAGCTGATGAAGGAAATCATTCTTAATTAAAAAAAAACCCCAGGTGTCTTGTGAGAAGTCTGGCCTGACAAGAAACCCAATCAATGCAAAAAAGGTGGCAAACAAATCCCTAAGTTTCAAGATTTGTCAGTCTTTGTGCAAGAGCTAGTACACCTGGCACAGAAAAAAGGGCAAAGGGAGGTAAGAATATGGTGTTAACTTGTTATTCCCTCTACTGGAGAGATAGTTATATAGAAATTCTCATGTGCTAATGCTTTCTTCCAGATCTGTGTATAGAAGAAAAAAAGAACAAGGTTTTTCTTGGTGGTCTTAATATCAGGTACTTGAGCATCATAACCTAGCCATAAATAATCAGAGTTCTATCTTACTGCCTCCACAGAACTCAACTTCCACTTGTCTCAGGCTCTTTGTATTTCTTCAGTTGGACTAGCTCAGTCTGATTCCAGCTTCATTGTTTCCTTAGGCTAGAAGGAAAAGAAAACTCTTTGATCTCTTGTAAGAACAAATAAATTCTTCTCCATCTTTTGACACTTACTGTATCAAGTTTGAATAAAAATCTCTGCCTTGGCAGACAAAGAAAGTCTTCTAAGCAATATTCAATTCCCAGAACAGCCTGAAGAGATTAAATTCTCTAGAATCTAAGATTAGATTCTCTATGTTCTCTGATACAGTATTACTAAATCCCAGTACCACTAGTGAGACAAGAATGCAGTTCATTGCAGCCTAAGCTCTCTCCTTAACTTTTACTGTTCTTAACAGCAAGAATCTAGCTATGAGCTAGTTGACTCTCAAGTGAATAATTTTATTTCAGTATGAACAGAGCACCCATTTTGACACCTGACTGGATTTTTAATGTCTGATTTTTACCTGACTGATGGGTAAGAATGGAAAGTATGATTAAGTCTATATCACTCTACTTGTTCCACTTTGGGTTCTGAAAGAATTTTGATACTATTAAAATACATGTCATAAGCATATAAGCAGAAAGGCATAAACAAAGGGGAAAACTCAGTTTTAATTTTAACTTTAACTTACACACAAGAAAAATATTGCAGTTGCAACTGATATTGCTGGCTTAGTACCTAGTTCTTGGCAGTGAAAAATCATATACAGTATACCTTTACTGCTCTTTAAAATTTTTCATTTTGAAGACACCAACACTCAGTAATTAAGTACAGCTGCCATAGGAATGCAGAAGATATAAAATACAATTATTTTTCTAAAAAAAAGCTTAAATAAAAACTTAACTACAGAAAGAAGTAGTGAAGGAAATAATAGCAAAAATATCATTCTTCAAAGTAGAATTTTCACAGAAATTGGTGTTTGAGATGCTGGCTAGTACCAAGAGGTTTTAAAACTTGGAAACTAAACACTGCATGGCAGCAACTGCCATTATGTAGAAGGCTTGCAGGTGCTGGGTTGTAGAATGTGTCTGGATTCTTGCCCACAGGAGAGTCAAGTGTTTCTCATTTCCCTTATCAGAAACACCTCTCCTAGAGCAGAGGACAACAGTCAAGAAGGAGAATAATACCAGCAACAACTGATATCAGAAGAGGATTTGGAAGGACTCCTATGAAGAAGATAATAGTTGCCAGTAGGAGCAAGAAGGCCCCAAGGCAACTAATTTCTATTTTCAACTGTTTGAGACACTAAACCCAAAGGCATCTGGCTAAGAAGATACTTGGACAAATAATTCACAGTCCACCTCTTCTTGAGCTGAATCCTTCATGGTGCAACTTAGGCAAAAATGGATGTCTAAAAGTTCATTCCGCAATAGTGCATCAAATCCCCCTCCCAATGTGATCTGAGAAATGCTCCTTAGGAACAGCACCCAGACTGAGCCTCTCTTTACTTACCAGCAAAAACACTGTCTGTTCCCAGGAATTTGTGATGTCCAACGAGCTCCCATGTTTTAAGGATCAGCCTTGGACACTTTTTTGCCTGAATAAGAACCCAAGTGCGATAATATGTTTTCTTCTCTCACTTTCAAAGAAAGTTTCCAACCCAAAGTGTGGCCAGGATGGAACATTGTTATGACCAAAGCCCCTCTCTTGCAGCCCTACAAACAGTGTTCCAAAGTGAGACCCTTTGAGCTCTCCTGGAGCAGCAGCTGTGACCAGCAAAGCCCCTGTGAGTGGGCCCTCTCAGAGCCAGGGAACTCCCACGTTTGCTGTATTTGGAAGATCCCCCGGCTCCTTGAGGCTCCACCCTTCATAAAGGCATCTGAAGTGGATATTTCACTACTCTGAGGGGAATTTCTCACCTTGTACAGGCTCTTTGTGCCTGTGTGCATGCAAGTGTGCATATTCTGTACTAAGTGAAATGCTGCTCCTCTAGATTTTCTAAGTACTTTAGATTTATAAGTTAGCTCTGTAAGTAAGTTACTGTTGTGGTATAGTAAATCCTATATGAATCCTTTGCTAATACATTTAACTTCAATTATAAGTTATGTGGCATAGTTTTTGGTTTATTTTGGACAGGTCTGATTGAGTCCAGGTTTTCATTTGCTTTTCCTCAGTGTGCCCTTAAGACTGAACCTTGCCAACAAACCTTGTCCTGCTGTTGCTTTTATACTGGACCTGTTTTTACCAATACTTTTGCTGGTGATGCTTTAAGCAGTCTGAAAACGTTCTTGAGTCTCTTTAGTGACAGAGACTACATAATGTCTGAAGCACAAACTAGTGACTGAGATGAGACAATAACGCCACAAAACTCCTCCCTTTCAAAACAGAGCAGGCATTAGGACCACACAAAGTTTTAGATGAAAACAGTTTGGAAGGATTACATTCAATATCTTTAACTTGAAATGTGATCTATTCACTACCTTGTACTCTGTCCCTCAACTCTGTTTCTGTCCAGGAGTCCTTCATGTTTGCTAAAGATGTGTGATTCATACATAGAAGGCTGATCTTAACAACTGCTAACAGGAGCAACAAAAACTCTAAACCAGTTTCTATTCTTAGCTTTCTGGGGCAGAGTCAGATGTTAGATGATAGAGTCACCATATAAATACTTGAATAGAGGATCCCTGCTATACCTCCTTCTGAAGAGAATACTGCATTTATGGATAAATATGCAAAACTGAAAATGCAAGAAGAACAGGCACAAACATCTGTTGACTCCCACAGCACATGAGCACTTGAAAATGGATGCAATCTGCTCCTACAAAACATTGATAAAAGTAAGTTGGAAGTATTTCTGAGCTACCCCTATTTAATGGAAAATTCTCTGTATCATGTGTCTTGGAAATGAAAGGGTTATCTCCTCATGTACTAAAGATAACAGAAGCAATGTAATTTTGACTGGTCCCAAGGGCTTTTATTTTTTCTTTATCAGCTGTTCAACACTGAATAAAGTATACCAATGTATAAGTACAAAAGTCAGCAAGTATGAAAAAGTAATCCTTTGGATTTAACTTTACAGTGGCAAAGAAACACAGAGAACAGTGGAAACTTATTTCTGAAAGACTTTGCTCTAACAGAACTGTACCTAAAATCCAGTTGTGAGAAATCCAACAATGTCCAATTCTGTAAAAGCCTGTGAATGCAGTGCCTGAATGTCAATTTTATATCAGCTCATAATTTAAATTCAGCCTTCATCATCACTGCTGCTCCAAGCATCTTCATATGCTGGATTTACATGTTGTTGAGGCAGAGACTAGGGAAAATAAAAATTCTCAGTGTTTTGCTTAATTAAAAATACTACAATCAAAAAAGGGAAAAGCTAAATGCACTTTTTAAATGACTACATGTACACAAACTATTCTCTCATCAGTACTGGATTATTTTTAACTACTTTTTTAGAAAATCTGCTGATTTGAGACGTGATAAATTACGAAAAGAAATAGTACTGTATTTAATTTCAATTTCAGCATAAAATATCTGGAGGACTGACTGGAAGTATTACAAATATTTGGTACAAAATGTAACAAATGTTGCAACAGTGTTTATTGTGTGCCACTGCATTAATTTAGATCACAATATCCTCAGCCCATCATAACTTAGCATTGCAGTTTCATAGAGGCCAGGCAGCCCTGCCCTCTATCCACATCCAAGAAATATTTCTCACCTCAACCCCACAAGGGTTCAACTAAAGGGTTTGTGTAGCTATGCAGTGCAGTGAACACAATGACTTAGGGTAACTTATTTTTCTTGTTTACTTCTATTCTGGGTTCAGATTCTGGTCATACAAGCACTCAAATGCCTATTCTAGCACCTGAGAGGAAACATGAATTAATGGCCTGTGGGCAGCAAAACAGCTTCTTACAGAGAAATCTCATCTACAGGGCTCATCTACAACATTTGCAAACTCCAGCTGTAGCTTAACAGATTTCAAAACAATGGCATATACTACATACTGCCACTGTGTCAAATTTAAAGGAGCAGTTCTAATCAGAGCTAAGTAAATAATGTTGTTGCTGTGGGTTTTTGTTTTCCAGACTAAGAAAAATCCAATTTATTCACATCAAAATTTTCATGGCAAAAATGTTAATTTCAGGTCAACACAATTTGCGTTTAGGGTGTAAGACCTTTGGAACTATATTTTTCTTCTCTGCTTAAGTACAGGACAGTTTTGAAATACAAAAACTTACAAAAAGCAAATGTTACAACAATTTTATGTTTCTTATAATTTCTCCATCTAAAATGGAATGATGCTGAAATTTTAAAAACTGGAATTTTCACATGCTATAGGCCAAAACATTAATACACCCTCATTTTTCAACATCAGTACAGTTTGCCAGACTCTGATCCAGTAATGGTTTCAGTTCCTTAAAATATAGACTTTTTGGCACTCAGGCTGTTCACTGAAATATTTCTTGTCTGAGAGAGAGAAAGTACTCTACTGGAAAACAGTCTTACATTTAATCTTCCCTGCAATCACCCTGAATGTCTTGCCCTGGGCCTTTGATTTTCACATCATAAATATTTGTGTATGAAGTGTGGTATCCCTAATCTTACTACTTAATAGACAGTATATTCTTAAACAATTTAAAATACAATCTAGCACCTCTACAATTCCAAAACAGGACAAACTGCAGAAAGCAGTTTGGAAATGAAAGAAGCAGAATTTGAAAGATGCAGAGTCAAATGACATGAACTACTCTTACATAAGTAGGAAGGTAGCAGCCTCCAAAAGTTTTGACTACACTACAAGAGAAAATGTTTTCTCAAAACCCTACAAGGATCAAAAGATTGCACAGAAATAATAGGTGATTCTCCTCTTAATTAGAAATTGTTAAAAATAATGGTGGTGAATCACTTTATATTGACTTTACACACAACCTGCCCAAGTATAACAGCCACAAAAAAGTACAGTTCAAACTCAAAAATTCACTACCTTTTCAGACGTATCATCAGGAACTGGCTCTCGTGGAGCTGGTATCCATGCAAGGATATTGCAGTCTTTGCTACCACTATAAAGTTCCTGTAAAAAACAAGCAGAAGTTACTTTCACACAAATTTAGTGAATAGTGACACAGATACCGTACTGGGCAGAAAAAAGGGTAGTGAATATTATTTAAAAATAAAGGCAAATAGTAAATTCCTAATTGATATTATAAATCTGGATAAGTTGTATTTTAAATAATATGCCAAAACAAAATTAATATGTTTTTATATTTTTTCCCAGATTGCTCACCAAAACAGCAAAACCACACTGAAATGAACTGTGTTGCTTAAATACATTTTTCTTCTTCCCTCTCTCTAATCTCCCGAAAAGACAGCTATTTTAACAGTTAGGCACCTTAAGAGATTGTTTATGGACAAGTAAAAAACCTGAAAAAACCACACAAACAAAAAAAAAAGAGAAATATTTTTTTATCATTAAAAACCAGGAATAAATTCAGAAGAATCAAGAATCTAGTAAGACACATCAGAAAAGAGAATATGTATGGAACAAAGAAGTATTAAGCAAATATAGTCCTAGGGAAGGAAAAGAAAAAAGTAGAGTACAGTATGAGGCTTGTACCCTGTTGGGAAGGCATGGATGAGAAAGACTAATTTATAATTTTAATATAAATAACTCTTATAAATAATTATAGTAATGACTAAGGACTGAGATCCCATTGCACAAGGCACCCTGCAACACATGGAAACAAATAGTTCTTATATCAAATAGCCCTAAGTCAAATATATCTTAATTTTCTTACTGTTCTTACTAAAGAACAAGTTTGTAGTTCTGTACTAGAGGAAATACAGACTTCTCTGTCACTGTAAGATTAGAAAATTTTGCTGGTGAGAAATCCTAACACCATCTTTGCAGTAAATTTTGCACCTATAACACTTGCACTTTCCGACACGCTTAAATTAACAGGTATGAAGATATTCTCATATGCCTTCAACACTGAATTATATTCCTGCTTATTATATGTTATGTCTGACAACACTTGAGTATTGTCATGTATTTAACTTCCTGAGTGAGACATATGAGGTTTTTTTGTAGTATTCAGGTTGACAGTATGAAGAATGAAAGCTGTGCTTTATGTATGCTGGTTTTTACACTTAAACTAGCAACTCTCTGCATATGTGCACTTTATGAGTATGTTGATTCAATGTAAGCTCAATATATTATCACAGGTCTGTCTTTGCAGGAAGTCTCCTATATAATTTATATATAATTAGAACTGCATGAATTATGTTGACAGTTGGTAAAGAAATTTAATGCTCAATTCCTATAAACATTTATGTGGGTAATCTAATTCAAGTGAGCTGCCACACTTTTCTAAAGCTGGTACTATGCATGAAGTTGCTCATGCATAAAGAACATTCAAGATAAGAGTTTACAATTTTAAGAGACATAACCATCCTACTTACCTTGCTTAAAAGAAGATATGGTACACCAAAGTATAGGTCAAACTCTACTTTATTCTGTCAGCAAGCAGTACTCTGCTCGGGCCTTCTGTCTTTGATAGAATCTAGAATATCACTAAGAACTTCAAAAGATCTTTCTATGCCAAAATATCTCCTTATGAGCAATGTCACAGTGACATCTGCATTCTTCCATTTTAATCCTTCTTATCACTTGTCTCACTTTCTGATCTTGGTATGGTAAGATCTTTGGCCAATATCCACTGCATTAAGCAATACTTAAAATTAATTATTACTACCTGAACTGGTGACTCACACCATAAGTCAGTCAAAAGAAGAGCTAGTGACCTCCATGTAGAATTATGTTATAATACAGGACAGACACATATATTGGACTACAAACATACTCTATGCATGTTTATAGTACAATATATGGAAAGACTGCAAATAAAACCTAATTTAACTTCCAGTTAACTTTATGTAATAGCATACTACTGGATTTGCCAAATACCTTTGCAGATGTCACTAGCATTCTTGAGCAGTATGAGCAGCAGTGTGATTTAAATAAAAATTGCTTCCTGTTGCACACCTACTATTTTATGACATGTTATTCATACGTGATGATTTACGTGATTTTTTTTTCTGAAAGGGAAACATAGGTCTTGTTTGTTTATTTAAATCATTCTAAGCAGGCACACTGGTATCTAGTATGTTAGATCCAACTGTAAACATCATCTAAGATATTGCACAATGAAGATTTTCTCTTCCACACCACCCTTGAAATTACTGACCTCCTATTAAATTAATGCTTCTTATTAAAGGGCTAAATTCTGCAGTTCTTATTACTCAAGCAGTCTAACATCTTATTAACTTTATAGAGATATTTACGTAAGAACAGTACAGGCAAACAATAATATAGTGGATTTTATGGCTCTATTCCTAGGATCAGAAAAGGCATATATATACACATTAACTAAAGCTCATACCACTCTCTGGAGACAGCTCTGTACTGCACCTCACACATAAAAGCTATTTCACACAAACATGCTAATTAATTTGGATAAGAACAGATAAAGACTAGTGGAATTGAATTTCAAATAGCTAGCTCCTTGGTTATCAGTGATCATGTTTGATTATATGGTTCCAAGCAAAGATAAGACACTTCTCATCTCAAATACATATTCTATATTAATTCAAACACATAACTGGTGCAAAATTTAAGTTTATTCTTAGAGCCTATTCTAGTTACGAGGTGAAACAAAGATAGCAATTAAAATACAGTTAATGAACAAGAAGAACATGAGGGACTGACAGCAATCAATACTAATAAGGAATTCTGAACACAGTAAAAAATAGTGAGAAAAACCTAAGGACCAGATTTAAGGATGGGTAGGACACAAATCAGTCACCAGGGTTAAAGACAGCAGGAAAAGTTTATAAGACTGTTAATATGAAGAACACTTAACAACAACAGAGAATACTACATGGAAATGGCCAGAACTACAGAAAAGATGTAGATCTTGCTTCTCATGAACACAGAATATAAAGTCCAATTAAGTGCTAACGAGTAACAAAAAAGTTACAAAGCCACTGCTATACATTTCACCACTGTATATATATCACAGATGTAAGCTATGTATACAGAAGAACCATCAAGCAAAACTTCCAGCTTGCTTAATTATGTTTTGATATGTATTTAAAAATTCCAAAGCTGAAAGTGAGCTGATATGCCATTCAGAAAGAAAAAAAAAGGCAGAATAATATAGACAAGAATGAACTGACATTTTTTAATCCCAAACATGACAATGGAAAAGATTATCGAATGATTAAGTTACTGTAGAATTAAAATGTAGATACACAAATATCACTCAAGAGAATTTGCAATAGAGCATGTTTTGTTAAGGAAAAGTGATTTTACTTAAAACTAGTAACAAAATACAAATGTACAGTTGGGAATAACTTTGCAGCATGTTGATTTAATAATACTTGAGAGAGTAAAATAGAAGAGGTGACTATAAATTTTACAAACAATATTACATTCTCAGGAAAGAATTTTTAGTGGCAAGATTGTAATTTATATCAGAATTACATGAAGACTGATGAATGCACTTAGTTGTATCAAGATAGGATAAGATACTTGGAAGTACATGTGTGAACACTGAAAATAACAGTAGCACTACCTTTGGTATTGAAATCCTGATTAGGATGTGTGGATTTGGCATGGCCTGGTTTATTGGTAGCAGGGGAGGGCCACAGGAGTAGCTTCTGTGAGAAGCAGCTAGGAGCTTCAACCATGTCCAACAGAGCCAGCATCTGATGGCTCTGAAGATGGATATGCTGTGGGCCCAGTTAGAGAGGTTGGTAACGTCTCTGTGATGACATTTAAGAAGAAAATCAAAACAGCGCACCTTTTTTTCCCTGGGGAAGTGAGGCACCATGGATGTCATCATCTTGGTGCAGCCCATGGCTTCCCCTTGCTGGCCCCTGCCCCTGGCCAGCCGTGCTGCGGGCAGAGAGGGCAGGGGCAGCAGCAGCTTCCCCTTCCAGCACCCGCAGCAGGCGAGGCGTCAAACAGCGCCTGCGGCAGCCACCACTGCTCACGTGGTGCTGGCCCGGCCACACGGCTGATGGCACAAACACGGTGAACAGCACCCAACCTAGACGAGATCAACTTCCCAGCACTGTGGGATCCTGCGGGAATCTGAATTTGTGGAACTTGTTGGCAATGGTACCTATGAGCAGCAGTTTTTCTTCTAGACAGAGAAGAGGAGGTGAGAACATGTGAGGGAAAAGAACAGGGCAGCACCAAGGTCAGTGGAGAAGGAAGGGGAGGAGGTACTCCAGGCGCTGGAGCCAAGATTCCTCTGCAAGTGAGGACCATGGTGAAACAGGCTGTTCCTCTGTAATGCATGAAGTCCACAGGGGATGCAGAGATCCACTGTGGGAAAAATGCTCATGCTGGAATGGGTGGATGCAAAGAAAGCTGTGATCTAGTGGGAAACCTGTCCAGAAAAAAAGGGCTCCTGCTTCCAGAGACAGAGAACCCTTGCTTCCAAAGCAGAGCAGCCTGTCCTTAGAGGACTGCACCCCGTGGAAAAGTGACCCACACCACACCAGTTTTTGGGAAGACTGTTTGCCAATGGGAGGGATTCCACGGCATGGCAGAGGAAAGACTCCTCTTCCTGAGTGAACAGAAGGTGATCTCCAGTGATGAACTAACCAAATCCCCATGTCCTGCCTCCCTCCACTGTCACTGGGACAGAAGGAGGGGGTGAGGGGAAAAAAGGTGTTTTAAAGGCTTATTTTACTTCTCATTATCCTCCTATGACTCTAATAATAATAAATTTACTTTGTCTTTAAATTTGAACCTGTTTTGCCCTTAGAATGTTTTTCTCCCAATCCTTACCCCAACTTATGAGCTTTTAGTTTTCTTTTTTTCTCTCTCCTCTGCCCAACGGTAGCAGGAGAGGGTAAGCAAACAACTCTTGTGGGTGCCCGGTATTAAGCCGGTGCCAAATCATGACATATAGCAATGTTGTTTCTCAGACTACCTATTTAATACAACTGAAAGCACAGCATTTATGAAAAAAGAAAATCCAGTCACACTTCTACAGTATAGAACTGAACTCTGGAAAAGGGTGCTTCTGAAAGAGAATCAGGAGTCACATCAGAAAAGCAAATGAAGTTGTTGACATCACAAACTTCTAGATACAGTGACTGCTGTAGTTCTTGCGTGCATATGCACACATGAGTGTTCCTTTACCATGGATCTCAAATGCCAAGGTAGAGACACCACATGTAAAACAAGTAAACCATGTTTTACAGAGAGAGACCTAATTAGCCTCACCTCTTCAGTTTATCAAAAAGAACACCAAAGATAACTTTATATAAACACACTAGAAGTTTTGCTGGGAAACTATTCTTGAAAAGACAAAAAGCTTTTCAAGAACATTCTGGAAAATATGTGCTTCAGCCACAATGTGAATATTGCAGTCGATGTATCTTACTGACTATCAGTATCAGAACTGCCTTCCAGATCTAGCAAAGTTTATTAGCTTAAGGTCTACTCATGTCCATAATGTGACCATAATTTTCAGTGAAGTCTGTCTCAGTAATACAGTCTCAGTGATTCAATCAAAGCTACCGGACACAAAGCAGAAGCTACCAGAGTCACTTCTATGATGAGAGGTCATAAAATGGTATCTACACACCCCTTCTGCCTCGAGTATTTCTACCTGATACTCAGAAACAGCAGGAAAAGAAGGCAGAGCTGGGACATGAAGTATGATCCTTAATACAGGGGGGCAACTATGTAATGGCCTGAAAATCCATACTATCATACATTCTGCACTTGGCACAATACATGCCATATGAACAATCTGTTCTAAAGTAACTCATAACAAATTAATTTTTGTTATCCTTAAGTCTTTTGTTACAAGAGAAAAATACACCAGAGTGGGATAGGAAAAGGAAAAAAGGCAGAGAAGAAAAAAAAAAATCTGTCAGTACCATGAGTCCCTGTAATGATATGGTATTTCTCAGCTGAAATATTCTCTGATAAATTTAAGAATCTCACAATGTTGTCAGCACTTTATCCAATATGTAACTACAGGCACTTGAGCAAGATCCCCTTAGCAAAGTATTTGAGAGCCTTCTCAATACTCACTGCAGTACTAATGCACTTCATAGTCTTTCTTAATGTGATTAGTATCTGAGAAAGATAAAGGTAACTCCTCTTCCATTTTACAGAAAACAAAAGTCTTCACACATATGCTTTACTAATGATTACACAAGTCAAAAAATTACTAAAGGTATATTGAGAAGTTACATATGTGAGACAAAACAAGCAGTGGAAGGAATCTAATCCAGAAAATGTCATCCCAAAAGCTTGACTAAACTTTTCCTCGATGACACATAAGACACAGTACTCCCTCTTATGATCTTTGATTAAAGCATATCCCTGAAAAGTGAATGCTTTTATAGTGCAAATGGTATGTCAATCTGCATAAATATTCCTGCTTGTCTGGAATACTGCTTGTATTTTACTTACCTGAAAATGAGGTTGAAATACACAGCAGTTGACAGTACTATAGTGCCCTCTAAGCATAGTTATCAGTTCTCCTGTGAAAACTGTATAAACAGCAATGGTACTTCCATACGGAACAAAGGCAAACTCTGGATTACAGCCACAAGAGATGGCAAATTTGAGTCCTTTCCTACTTTCATTACAGACTTTCCCATAGTTTACCTGCAAAATGAAAGATCACATAGATTACATAGCCAGCTATTAAGTAAAATCCCAGGAAATTATATTAAAAGGTCAATTTTACTTCATGTTTAACACTCAATAAAATTAATTTTGGGCTATGTTAAGAAATCTCATGATATTTCAAAGTACAGATGCCTACCAAGATAATTATTTTTATGCTCAATAAAGTTTACTCTTCTTAATATCAATTTAGAAATAAAGAAAGAAAAAGAAAGAAAAAGAAAGAAAAAGAAAGAAAAAGAAAGAAAAAGAAAGAAAAAGAAAAGAAAGAAAAGAAAGAAAAGAAAAGAAAGAAAAGAAAGAAAAAGAAAGAAAAGAAAGAAAAAGAAAGAAAAAGAAAGAAAAAGAAAGAAAAAGAAAGAAAAAGAAAGAAAAAGAAAGAAAAAGAAAGAAAAAGAAAGAAAAAGAAAGAAAAAGAAAAGAAAGAAAAGAAAAGAAAAGAAAGAAAAGAAAGAAAAGAAAGAAAAGAAAGAAAAGACAAGAAAGAAAGACAAGAAAGACAAGAAAGAAAGAAAAGAAAGAAAAGAAAGAAAAGAAAGCAAGAAAAGAAAGCAAGAAAAGAAAGCAAGAAAAGAAAGCAAGAAAAGAAAGCAAGAAAAGCAAGCAAGCAAGCAAGCAAGCAAGGCCTTAAAACTAGCAATTCCACACTACGAAATAGGATTTCAACAGGCTGTTGCATGCCAGATCTGCATCAAGCACCTAAACCCTCACTGAAATTAGACGTGGTTCAGGAATTACCACCTGTTGTGGTTTAGGAATGGTGTTTTCAATTCAGTACACTCGCTCTCCTGCCTATTCAAAACACAACAGGCAGAGATCATGGATTGAGCTAAGAACAATTTACTAGAAATAGCAATAAAAAACCAAACAGTAAAAGCAACAATTAGTAACAAAAGGTATTAGTAACAAAAGGTATGAGACAATGAAATTATTTACAAGTTCAACAAAAAAGTACTGGACCATTTTCTCCCAGGGTAGCTTTGATAGGAAAAATTTCAAAGACTTTAATGGCGAGGTGTAAGGGAAGTCTTGCAAATTACAATAGTATAAAAGTACCTTATTAACACCTGTACTAATGTCTCAAACTATAATTTCATAGAGTTTCAAGCTCTTGACAAGTTTTATACAGATAAAAATCTCATAAAAGATTGAAAGTGAAGTTTCCGAACATATTTGGAAATATTCCAGTTGGCTATATCAGTCTAATTAGGTTCTATCAGACATCAGAAGTATATTTATGAAGTGACAGAGAAATATATTCATGGAAAAAGTCCAGCCTTCCTCGAAACAAGTCAATTAAAACAAAGAATTACAATTTGGACTATTTTTTCATGAAGAAAATGCACTGTGTTAGAATATTTACACTATGAACTTCACAAATTTCTTAGCTTATAGTCAAAAGATTTCACAATTGGAACTGTTTTCCTTCTTAACTCTATGCCTTCAGTTTTAGGTGGGGAGATTTAAGATTAACACCGAGAGCTTTGCTAATATTGTACACAGCAGTGACATTGCTAAAAGAAAATAATACGTATGGCTTTGTCTCTATGCCTTTTGAAAGATATAGAAAAGAAAGATTTAGGTCAAAAGGGTGGACTAGTCAGGGAAATAAAAGGACTATGGTGTAAACTTGTAATACTTGTACATGCATTCATTTCTTTGCTGATGCCTTAAAATTATTTTAAGCAATACCTCTGGGCAGTGTGTGAAAATACAGTACTCTGGACAATACAACTCTGAACTTCAAAAAGCAAAGCAGGGTCAAGCTATTCCACACCAGATTAGAAAACTGTAAAATAGCCTATGAAACAAGTAAATGAACTAACAGGCACAGAAAAATCAAAATCCAGTGATCCGGCAGGTAACAGGAGAGTGAACAAACTGCATTATCTACTTTGGTGGTGATTTGAAGACGGGAAGATGTTTGTGTATGAGGTGCTGAGAACAAGCTGGCAAATATAGGTAGGATGGAGAGAAATCCTTTTATTTAAATATCTATACAGAATTATTTTTGCTCTGTTCAGAAACTAAGCAGCACAATTAAAAGATTTCTTAGGTATAGCAAAATTTCTTTCTTTCCTGATAGCAATGACAGACCATAATTACAGCTGACTAAAATTCCATGGACACTGACTTACCTAGTTTGTTCGTCTTTCAAAATAAACAAAGAAAACTATTTTCTTTACCGAACAGAAAAATAAAACAAGAACCTTCAGCACAAAAAAAATCCAAAAGCCATTGAAAAGACTGCAATATCAGAAGAGGTTTAGCACATTTCCCACCCCTCATTCCTGCTGTTGTGTGATTCCAACACAAATCTGGAAGAATGGATGAATAGATATTTTTAATACTGTCATGCAACTTCACAGGAGAGATTCCACAAAAACAGAAGGAGATTTGCAAGAAAGCCAGGCAGCCAGTGAAACTCTCAGGTATGGCAAACTGCTCTATGGATAGTACATTGGCAACTAATAGTTTAAAAAACCCCAAAACTTTCTACCAACAGTCACGGCTTATTCAAGTTTTTATTACTGTATGAAATATTTATAGCTATACTCTCAAATTCATGAACTTAGAGTTACCATATTAAATCTTTAAGTAGATTAGGCTTCTTCATATTCTTTTTTCTTTACAATAAGTAGAAGATAAGAAGTCTGGAAGAAAATAATGTTCACCAAATGATCTAGTGATGAAATTAAGCAGCTACATCCTTTATGAAAGTGAAATCCAAGTTGTACTGACAAGAGCAAAAATTATAAATCTCTTAAAATTAAATGAAAGGAAAAATGCATCTGAAGTGCCTTGAAAACTCACTAAGGTGTTTTCTCCAGTGGAGACATTCCAGAGTCGCATTCGATCATCTGTACCAATGGTTAGCAGGTGAAGTCCATCATTTGTATAGCATAAACCATTAACTCTCCCATTGTGAGCAGTGTTTGCTGCCGGGGGGGAAAAAGAGCTGCCTTAGGTCTCTTCAAAAGTTACTACTTTGTATACATTTTTACTTCAATGTGGAGCAGTGGAAGTGCTGTTTGAATGGTAACATTCAGTTAAAAATTATTTAATTTTTTGTTTATAAAAGCATGTGGCCCGCTAACAGCCACCAGCAGGGCTCCTCGGGGCGCAGTTCAAGGGCCAGTTCTGTCCCATCTATCATCTAGTTGTTGATGCCCCCAGCCCGTCAGCGTTCCAGAGGCATTTGGACAACACCCTCAACAACATGCTTTTGGCCAGCTCTGAAGCAGTCAGGGTAAGGTCTCTCTGTACAATACTGCAGTACCTAATTTAGACATACCTTTCAGGTAGAAATATGACTGCTTTTTAAAGATTTTATTAGAAAATAATTATTACCTGCTATTGGTTTAGTTCATATACATTTCAATAAATTAAATACCCTAGCCTATACAATTGATATTAGATAACCAAAAAATCATCTTGAACCTGTCTGACAAAAATAAAGTTGAAAAGAAAGATGTTGCGATCTAACAAGTCAACATGTTTTTCAAAGGAATGTATGAAATGGCACTAGTCATCTTTGGAGTTACATCAAATTTTGGTTTTCATTAAACAGTCTTTCTTCTTTTTTGTCCAAGTACTAGCTTTCTTTAGAAAGTTTTCCTCTCAATAATTTTTTTAACTTCAATCAATTTCATATTTACATAAAGGCTTATCCACAGCATAAATGAATTCTTCCACTCACAAAAAAAGATAACAGAATTTTCCATTTTAGAGGAAAGCCATTAAGAATAGATACACTGCTATTGTTTAGGCAATCTCTCTAAACAAGGTCCCAAACAACAAAAACTGACTCTATAACAGAAGTAAGTGAACAAAGCTGAATGGCCTCTGTTGTGTATTAAATCACAACTGGACTATCACTACTGCCCTTGCTGGTCTTAGTATTCAAAACATAAATGAAATATAAGAATGGCTTTAGTTACGTATGAATTACCACCAGTTATATTTTGTATTACCTGCCTCAGAAGATGCTTTGGACTTTTCTCCATTGTACTGATCAAGTGTACTTAGACATCCAGAAGCTCTCCTCACATCCCATAATTTTACTCTACCATCAGCACTAAGAAAAACAAATTTGCTAAGATTAGGGAAACTGAATGCACTACAGCTCAGGAACTGTCTTTGGTCAACACACCTGGCATTCACCTTGGTCGAGAAACTGTTCTGAACTCATTGTGTGGGCACACTCAAGTCAACAGAATTCCATTAAAAACATTTTAAGGCAGACTTCAGACTTTTATTTTCACGTATTAGTAACTTCAGCTGGTAAACTATCAGGACCTAACAGTGAATCATCATCTGTAACACAATACACTTACCTCTTTGATTGCAACGTAACACCCTTGCATACACATATAGCTTGAGAATAAACTTGCTAATTCTTCTGTTGCCTAAACTGTAACTACAGACTCCAGCATTGTCTGTAATAGTGGTCTGAGAATTTGGGGTTTTGTTATCACAGATCTATTGTATGACTGGTACAAAAGCTGTCTACAAGCAAACAATTTTTCATCTGCTACAACAAGACAAAAACAACAAAAACCCCACAAATAAGCAAACACAATCAAAGCAATCCCTAAACAACACACTGTTAAAACATTTTCCAACTTTGATAATCCTTTCAGAAAGCCTGCATTCAGAAACCAAAGGTTTGTGAATCTGGTAACTTCACTGAACTGATAAAACTGCCATTCCACTAAACTTATGAAATAGCTGTTCTTCTCTGCAAAAGAAAAAAAACCACGGCATCTAAAAAGCGAGAAATGTCACACAATAATCAAAAGCTAACTTGCGAAAGTTATAGAATAGCCAAGAGGATTTTTTACATTAAAAACATCCGGACAGAAAACAAAGAAAGCCCAGGAATATCAACATACAATCCATATTTACTGAATTACAGTCACTTGGAAAGTTACATCAGCTAAGCTACCCAAGTTATTCTTTTTGACATTAAGTGTGATTACCAGAATGGTAATTTGAGCTAATAATGTTTTACTTTTATTCCAACATGGATTAGCAACGCATACAATAATAAACAGTAATAAGTGAGTATATCCTTAATATTCTACCATTTTCCTGTATCAGTAGTTACAGTTAGTATTTCAAAACTCTGTACAAACTTGCTATAAAATAAGCATAACTTGTTGGCAGATCTTCAGGTTTTGTTTTTCTAGGGAAAAGCTATAAAATTGTGAACAGTTAAAGTAAACAAAGAAAACTAACTCCAGAAGTACATTTGAATTGATGTAAGTATGCCTAAAAAATGTATAAAATTTTTACTGACCAATATTCCAGTGCATGTAACAGTTCAGCAACATCCTTACCCTCCTGTTGCCAAAACATATTCATGACGTGGGGACCAAGACACTGCCAATACTTCTTGTCTGTGACCTAAGAATTACATGAAAAAGCTTATTATACACACCATTTTGTGTAAATAACTGAAAGTAAAAGCAAATATTTAGTTGTATAGGATTCATCAAGCCAGAATAATAATTCAAACTGTAACATCAATTTATATTTTGTGAAACTACATTATTTTGGGACAGAAGTTATTTCTGTCTCTTATTCTTCTTCCCTGAATGGGATTGTAGTGAGCAGAAAGTGATACACACAGTATTACATGTGTATAATTTTTGATAATAAAGATGTACAAACACATTTTGATAATAAAGATGTGCAAAACACATTACAACTCAGTCACAGCTTTTTGTACAGCACTGGTATTTTCATACAGGGAAGGAACTTTCCATTTATTTTTCTTCAAATCCTTTAATAATGTTAAATTTAAACTATATCTACCTTACATATTTACAATTAAAACTTTACTTGTTTTATCCTCTAAGAGTTTTGTCCTGAATTTGTGGTATTTTTTTCCCTTAACTATTAAAGTATCAAGGAAGCTAGTGAAGAGTGTTCCTTGCACAGGTCCTGCAAGAAAAGCTGAGGGAGCTGAGGGTTTTCAGTCTGGAGAAAAGGAGATCTGAGGGGACCTTACTGCTCTCAAAAACCACCTGAAAAAAACCAGGTGGGGGGGTCAGTCTTCTCCCAAGTAACATACAACAGGAGAGGAAGTGGCCTCAAGTTGCACCAATGGAGGTTTTGACTGGCAGTTAGGAAAAATTCCCATACTTTACAAATAAAATTCTGGCAGGAACAGGTTGCCCAGGGCAGTGGTTGAGTCGCTACCCATGGAGATATGCAAAAGATGTAGAGATGTGCCACTTAGAGATGTAATTCAGTGGTGGATTTGGCAATGCTGGGTTAAGAGCTGGACTCAATGATCTGAAAGGTCTTTTAGTATATATATATATGAATGTACATGTTTTTTGGTTTTGTTTTTTATACACACACATGCACACACCCACACTTTAAAACTTGGCAAGTTATGTTAAATAAGTACAGAAAATGGGAAGGATAAGATGTCCTAAATGGAAAGACTGCAATCATGCTTCACACCATAACAGAAACATATTACTGAAAAATAAGCTAAATCATAAAATACATTCTTGCTAACGCAGTTTATAGGTTGTGCAAACCACCTTGTTGCTGGTGCATCTTCTAGTAGGCACTTTCCCATTATCTGAATTAATCAAATCACTGCAATGACCAGGGTAATAAGAAAAGCCTCCAAGATACAGGTATTACAGGATACACTTAGAAGGCTCAGAGCAGACAGATTTATTGGGATCCATTAATTAAACTACAGCCATGCATATACCTCCACTTCAGCTGCTAGAGTTAGTCTATGTGAAAACATCCGTACATATGGTCAAGACACTACTGATTGCTTCAGTTCTGCAAGGAAGATTATCCCTAATTAATGACATATTCTCCTTCCACTTATTCCTCCAATATTGCACTTGAGGTAACAGGCTACCACAGGCTGTGTACAAAGACACAACGGAGCTTGTGCCTGGAAAGTATTAATTTTTGTGTAAAAATTAAGAAACCCTAATGAAACCAAACAGAATCTTTAGAGAACTGTTTTGGTCACTGCCCTGTCTGGAGCTTTAGGTTCTAGGAACAGAACATGAGATGCTTGTTCATAGAAGTTTAACAGCTTAAGCTCTGCATCACAAAAAAAATCGCCTAGGCTCCTTTGAGACTTAGCCGACCAGTGAAGAAATAAAGCTGCATTTGCACATTGCTGTGTCTGAGTTAATGTTTCTCTACAGTTGAAGCATGAAGATTTGCTTCATGACTGCCTTCTCTTGAGCATGTGTATATATACTGACACTCCAGAAAGCACACATTAGAAAAGGGCCACCAAAGGCAAATTCTCACTGAGTGACAAAAGTAATGGATTATGGAACAATAAAACATTACATTTAACTGAACTAGGAAAATAGAAATTATTTGGTAATATCCTTCTACAGAAAGGTTGTTCTACAGAAATGAGAAACTTCTAAACAAACCCATTCAAACATCTCCATGGGATACTTTCTTAAAAGCAATGAAATTTTCTTTTTGTTTCTTTTCTGGAGGGCGGTGGGGAGCTTCTCTTGTTTTACTTGGTTTTCTTTATTAAAGACCATGTAAAACACAACTTGTTGACTCCACAACCCCCCAATCCAACGACTATATTTAACCATAAATAGTAATCAGTATTGATTACACTATGAAAATATCCAAACATCAGTAGTAACTGCTCATTGATTAATGTTTGTATTCTGCAATTCAGTAGCTCTAGAAAAACACCCAGAAGAACCTCTTGCCACTGTGTAACTTTCACAACTGGCTACAAATAAATTACTCATGTTACTGACAAAGAATACATTGTATACAGTGTTTCTTTACAGGACTTGTTTTTACTCAAAGTAGTTATTGTTTAACATTTATGTTTCAGACTAAAAAGTACCCTGCAGAATGTGAGAACTGGATCCAGACTTCAAGTCACAGAGCTGTACTTTGGGGCTTTTGGTACCAACTGTAACAAAAGAAACAAAGACAGCTAAAAAACCTCCCAGCATCTGAAAGAACAACAACAAAAAAATCTTAGCAATGGCAAAAAAAAAAAAAAAAAAGAAGAAAAATGCTAGCTGCATAACTGCTCATTCAGTCAGAGCAATGCTTCTATTAATATGATGCTTTATACTTAATCCTTCTAATAATACATTTACATTTTTAGTCCGAGCAAATTTACCATGTAACAAACAAAATTTAGAAACTGGAAGTAAACAGGATCATACTTGGGAAACTTAAAAATATCTCCTCAAATATTTTTTTGCTAAACGTAGTTTAATTGTATACATGTAGGCAATATACAGATCTATTTACAAAATTTACTATATTTGGATCTAATAACCTTTAAATGATAACTTATCTAATGAAAGAATCTAATTACAGCTAAGAATTTTATCAGTAAGGAGAACTGATTGATGCACTATTTCAGAAGAACAAATATGGTACTCTCATTGACATCATCCAAATAATGGACAGTATTTTATTTTACTACTAAATTTACATCTTATCAAGACTTGATTTATGTAAAACTAAGACAGAGTAGGGGAAAAAACCCAACTGAAATATTACTTGCTTATTATTATAAACCTTATCTATCTCTACATATATCTGTTTCTTAAAAACAGATACATACCTGCTATTAAACAGTGCTTTGTAGCAATTGGAGACATATGATGGCTATAGACTGTTCCCTCAAAATGAAATATATCTGCAAGCTGATAATAAAAATATTAAATTAATTACAATGCAAATATATTAGCAGAATGTAGATGCTCACCATTATTTTTCAAGTAACAGCTAAAAGTAAGACTAATGCAAATATTACTATTTACATAGTAATGATAACTCTCCTGGTTAGAAGCCAGATAACACAAACATCACAGAGTAACAGCAGGACAGCACCAGAGCTCAGAGATGACCCAAAAGACAGACCATGAAAACTGAAAAATGAGAAGCATGAATGGAAATTATGACAGTTACCAAAAATTAATAAAGCTAGTAAGTAAACAAAAAGGTTGTAATATAGAAATAGAGTCAACAGGAAGAAAGCACTTCAGACTAAGTTTAAAGACCCTTTTCATTCCCAAATATCACACACTATTTTCAACTCCCAAAAAAATAAAATAGTTCCATATAAAACTATTATCTGCCTCATGACTATTTAAAACCAATAGGACATATTTACTTTAATAAACTTTAATATTTACTTTAATAAGTACAATTTCTTCCAGGTAAACTGCTTTTTTTTGTGTCATTCTAAAATACTGTGTATGAAAAATCTCTTAAAACTGAGTTGTCTGTACTTTCAAAAACACCATGTAGTGGCAGAACAAGTCATTCAATAACTTTTATGTGTACACTGTGTCTTTCAAGAGATGGTCACAAAACTATCTAACTATCTGGAAACTTAATTTTTTAATGAGATTTAGCAACTGCAAACATAGCTTTATATCTTAAAAAAAAAAAAAAAAGAAATCACACCAAACAAGCTAATTTTTTCCCTATTACATCCCTAGAATGACAGACGTCTTTTCAAAAAAATATTTTGCCATGTGTGAAAAAGCAGTCAAATAGTATCAATGTAAGTTCCAAATCCTATGACTCAATGTAAATGTTCATAGGGAACAGGACAAACCACAGCCATAAATTCACAGTTCAACACAAGATGTCAGGATTACTGAATCAAAGCAACATAAATTCCTAAATAATCCGTTTACCTTATTAATGTCAGTTACATTGGTTAGTGTGGTTTTAATGGTTTCTCTCATTATCTACTGATTTTTAGAAATGTTTATAGTGCTTACAACAGCAGAATTCAGGACCTGCATCCTGTATCCCAAGGCCACCAGTCCTTCAAAAGTACTGGTTATTAGATGTTGGTTATTAAAAATAAGTAGCCACTGCCATTAGACTCAACAATCCCCAAGAATGAACAGCAGACTAGACTTTGCTGGACAGGTTTACCCAGAAAAATTCAACTAGCTGTATTCCTGTTCACTGCAAAAGCAGAAAGGAACTGTTCCAAGGGTTCCAGGCTCTCCTACAGTTTAGACATTCAGTCTTCAGAAATGGGCAGGTACACATCAAGGTGTACACAAATGCCAGGACCACACCACCCTGCTGCTGCACCCACAGTTCTAACAGGTAGCTGGTTTTCATCTTCAGGATGCATAGTTCTGTTCACCTCTGTGAGAATTTCAGATACACAATAAATAACATACACAAAGAAGGTTGCAATCTGTAGAAACTCTCTTACTTGTAAAGCGTTTGTATCCCATATTTTCAAGGTTTTATCAAACGAGCTTGATGTAAACATGCCAGTGTCATGAGGATACCACTGGACTGTCTCCACACTGAATTTATGTACATCAGGATGACTCCTAAAATCAAGAAAAATATTCTAACTGGTTAAGAGCTTTGATAATCATCTTGTAGTTGTCTTGGCATTTGATGACAAGTTGAAAACAGAAACATTTTTCTTAATTTACCCTGAGGTTTTCAAGAAGAACTATATTTTTGTTGGCTTCATTTTCATTCAACTAATATTCATTACTTTGAAGAGTCTTCATTTCAAGAAACTACAGATCATTACCTTTTCAAAATATGATAACTGTAGCATATCTCAAGACACTTATAAAGCATAAAAACTCTTTTGAAATATTTAAGTTGCAATGTTTACAAATCTTATGTTAAATGTGATGGCTTAACACTACCAACCATTTATGCTTCTTAGAAATGGATCCATTGAAAAATACAATCACACATGCAGTTCAAAAAATTCATTAGTATTAATGAATAATTACAGCTACACATTTATTGGCAATTCCTGTCTGACAAAGTCACCAGAGAGCAGTCAGCTAAGTTACTGAGAGTCATTTATATTTGCATTCAGAAATCAAAGAGGAAGAACAATAGGAAACTTTCAAGTGAACTACGGATATTTAGAGACTGCAATACAATTAATAATAAACTGTGGCAGAAAGAACAGGCAGCAGAGCCAATCTTGACAGCTCCAGGATACAGACTCAACTGACCAGGCTCTGAATAATGCATGTCATTCAAATACCTGGTAGACGACTCATATCTGAGCTGGATGCACATGGATCCAGCTTCAGGGGCCCAAAATCAGCTGTTTGCTTACTCTACGCTCTGCAGCGGGATGAGGGAGAGCATACAAATGGTGAAGGTGTGAAAAGTTGTGGATTGAGAAAAATACATTTTAGTAAGTGAAAGGGAACAAATCAAAACAAACCCTGTGAACCCAGGGAAAAAACAAACAAAGAAACAAAACAAACCCCCACAGTGCAGGAATGTGCCTCCTGTTGACGGAGTGACAAAACTATCTTTTGTCCCCTCCAAAAGGAAAGAACCCTAGAAGTTTCTCTCCTGGATTAGATGAAAAAGCTGCCTAATAGGCCTAGGGGACTCCATCTCAAACTTAAAAATAGCTAGTTGGACAGAAGCCAAAAAGTCACACCTGGGCAATTTACTAGAAAAAGAAGTGAACAAAGAAGCTAATCACTATTGCGAGGTATTTTACCAAGAGCAAGAATCTCTTGCACCTGGCTCTGTTTTTCTCTATTTGTTATTTTGCCTTTTATTAAATCCTTTTGTTTCCAACACTGCAACAGAAGCCATCCTGCTGATTTTTAGGCCTCCAAGGGTAGCTAAGCTATCTTGGGTGTGTTATAGACCCAAGTGTTAAGAGCTTATGAGACCTGGCTTGAAGAAGTTCCTATAACACCCAACCAGTGAAGTGATGCAAAAGTAACCCCTTACCACAGGCTTAGATGGCTGCACATGGCACTTAACGATATGGAATGTCAGGATGTCTCTGGTCAACGTGGGTCAGGTGTTCCAGCTGTTTCCTCATAGCCTACCGTGCACCCCCTGAGGGGGCAGTGAGGAATGGTGACTGCATTGACACCACCAAGCACTGGTCAGCACTCCCTAAAACATCAGTGTGCTATCAAGACTGGTCAAAAGTCTGAAACGTACTACTATACAAACTATAGTAGTATAGACAAAGGAAATTAACTCCATCCCAGCTAAATGCAGTACTTATGGCAAAACTGCAGCTAGAAAAGGCTCCATGATATTTCATTATGTCAGCTGCATTGTTCTATCAAATGTCCTGGCCTCCACAAGCCAGGAGTAAGTATTAGTAAGTACTGCATGGTTTCATTATGCAAACAGAGATGCAGATCTTCAATACTACCACGTATAGAAGAGTATGCACTTCTCAGTGTACTTATGCCTGGCCTAAATTTGTCTACTGCATAACACTACCTTTTAAAGGCAGGAGTGGATCATCACAAAGGAAAATCAAAACCTTTCACCTCTGAAGGGGATTAAACTTCTCAATAGGATGCTGACATCTCAATATGTTGAATTCAAAAGAACTAAATGCGTGACAACAGTCTTATGCACTGTTGTAAGCTGTATGTCAAAGTGGATTATGATGAAGGGAGAAAACCATACATACTTGCTCTTCTAAAAAGAGTATCAGCATACCTTTAAAATATCCCATTCAACACTTGTGATTTGTCTTTGAACAGACCCAAACTCTTGACTGAAAGAGGGCCTTCAATTCAAAAGTGCTGAAGTGCCATTTTTAACAACTCAGTCTCAGCTGTTTAGTGAACTGTCTCCTCACACTTATAACATTGGTTCCTTCTCAGTCAAGAATACAGGTCAACAGTAAATGTTATTTAACTCAACACAGTCTCTCAAATAAGTTGAACTGTTGATGCAGAATAATGTTTCCACAATCCAATCAGCTCGCTCACTGCTCCTGAAAACCTCTTATGCATGATGGACAGCATGGCTGCATAAACAAACCTCACTTCCTCTAGGCAAACAAGGAAGGATGTGACTGGTATCCTGGGAACAGGATGAGGAGCTCTAAACAATAAGACTCTGACTTATTAAGGAACAAAAAACCAGTCACAAAAAATAGTGACTTAAATAAACTGAAACATCCTCTATGATCTTCCCTTTTGGCTTTCAGAACTAATCAACGGTTTCAAATGGATATATTACTTCAGTGGGAGGGTGCTAATGAAAAAGACCATCAATTGATCACAGATGCACTTAGCATAGTCCAAACCTATGTTTCTTTAGCACTTACTTCTATGCAAGCTCAACTATGCATGCACTGATGACAGCTACAGTCACAAGGGAAGACAAAAAAAACCATTACTCATTGAAATTTGAGAGGTAATTTGGGCTAATATAACTGAATTTCAAAGGAATTCCAGTTCTGCTGGTACTTAGTCAATTTTACCTATGATTCCATGAGCAGCACAGCCACACCTTTTGTGTTAACAATACACAATGTTTCACTATATGATATATACCCAGTCACTGCATTAGAATTAAACTACAATAGAACTATACTCATCCTCTGGAATATAGAGTATGGGCCGGAAAAGACGGAAATAAATGAAAGACTACTGATGCCAACATTGAATGAGGGCAACAAGGATACATTTGTGAATGCAACAATATCAAAACCTAAGGCATTTGTCTGAGCAAAATATTTCTCATTTTGAGATTCATCCTAATGAAAACTTGGAAATCATGTATAATGGTAAAGGATGAGCTTTCTATGAGATCCTCTTGTGATTTTGTATTTGTGGACAACATTACTGTAGACACAAGTAATCACTCACATATTTGTAGTATAACTTTGCCAACATGTAATTTAAGTATGTAATTTAAGTTATTCAGCTCCTATTGTATCCTATCAAAATATTAGAATCTAATTATACTCTGATTCAAGATTGCAGCCTACTCCCATTGGTATGAACCTCATGCTGCTAAAGAAATTGTTAGAGCGTGGAGACCTTAGCTGTTTGTTGAAAACAAATGCAAAAAAAATGGACAACATATTTTATTTACTGTCCATCATGATGTGGAAGAGACAAATCACATGATGGAGTATGTGAATAAAGTGGTGGGACACCCTTTTTGGATGGTCACTAAAAGCTACCAGAATTCTCAACAGTGCTTCACCCTGCTGTCATGTTGCTGACAGTAACTCTTTTGCTTTTTGTTCTAATAATCATACTGTATGTTAAGATTTGGATAATTAGAAACAATTAGCCTGTTGGCTACCCTCAGTAATACCAGATAACCACACAATAGAAATGTATTAGATGATCTGCACTGTACAAAAGTGTGAAACATTCTCAATTTGGATACTGTGAAGTTTGACTGACTAGTCATGATTGGATTACGTGGAAAGATGGCTGGGGGTAAAATGGGAGGAAACTGCAAGCTATATTCACATCCTAACAGAAGTTATAATGATATGGGAATTATAGGATAAAGTGCAGTTGCTTCTTCTGGATGGAATGTTGTGAGCATGACTGAAAGCAATTCCACAATGACTCCCCATACAAACAGCCTGCAACCTCAACCACCTGCAAAGTGGGATGAAGTGGGGGGTGGAGCCAAGACTCCATGGCCAGGCACCACTGAAATCCCTGCAGGGAGGGGAACGTTGTATCTGATAAACCACATACCACCTGTTCCCCAAGGGAGACAAGATGTCTTTCTGTTGAACCAGCAGTTGTGGTTAAATAGCTCTCCTTGGATGAAATTGGTTCATTATTATCTAACTGTAATACTAATGCAGACCCCCAACCCAAAGTTCAGAATCACAGAATATTCTCAGTTGGAAGGCAGACACAAGGATGATCAAGTCCAACTCTTAAGTGAATAGCCCATACAGGAACCAAACCCACAACCCTGGCATTACTAGCACCATGATCTAAATCAACTCAGCTAACTTCAACTTACCCACCACCAGGGTAAGATCACCACTCACTGAGCATGTGCTCTGCATTTTATTGACTGCAGCTTTAAGAGAAAAGGGAGAGAATTTTACACCATTTAGTCACAAAGGTACAATACCTCAAGCTCCAAATAAACACAATGGAATTGTACAAAAGTAAGTCAAAAATTGTGAAGTTAGGGAAGATTCCATTGTAACTTCTGAGATCAGCCAATAAGGGGATCTGTCTTTGTCCCCAGAGGAATGCCTGTTAGTAAGAACCCTACTCTATGTGCGTTCTATTAGGGATTAAATCTTGTCTGTATATTAGCCTGAATGTGTGTTAGCAGTCAGAAACTATCACTGGCAGGCCTTAAACCTTAACTTGTCACAATTTTCTCTCATTAATAAAGAATGTTATTCCATAGTTAGAGTGAGTCTTTCATGGACACTAGCATGCACTGGCAGTGGGTAATGTACTTGGAAAAAGTGGGAAACCCCGCTGAGGGGGTCTCTCTTATGCTGTTGGTGTGTGTCCCTGAACAAGTCAGTTGAACCACTCTCTGATCCAGCAGGACTATTCAGTGAAGGGTCCCTATAAGAGGGTGCTGAGGGGCTGGTTGGACACAAAGGTCTCAGCTTTTCCAGGGCAGTGACAGACTAATCTAACACTACAGGCTGAGGAAATTTTCCCTTTTCATACGACATCTTATAGTTCTGATTTCATCTGAGCTAATAAAATTTTCTGCTCACTTGGGTTGCTACAAAGCAAAAAAGACACGTTTAGGAGAGTTAGCCTGAAGCCAGCACTGACAATACTAAGCAAGAGATATTGAGCAACTTTTGAGCTTAGTTTAATGACTTCTGCATTGCTCTTCCACTTCTGATGCATATCCTAGAATGGCCTGTTACTCTGGCACAGTGCTAAAAGTCAACAAATTTTATGCCTCTATTCTTCAGGGAGGTGTGCTGGTTTTGGCTGGAGTAGAATCAATTTTTTTCACAGTGCCTAGCATGGGATACGTTTTGGATTTGTGCTGAACAGAGTTAGTACATAGGGGTGCTTTTGTTATTGCTGAGCAGGGCGTACAGAGAGCCAAGGCCTTTTCTGCTTTTCATACTGACATGCTGCTGAGGGGACTGGGAGTGCCTGGGAGGAGCCAGAACAGGTGACCCCAGCTGACCAAAGGGATATTCCAGACCGTGTGACATCAAGCTCAGTATATAAAGCTGGGGGTAAAAAGGAAAGAGGAGGAGACACATTTGAAATGATGGCATTTGTCTTCCCGAATAACCATTATGCATGATGGGGCTCTGCTTTCCTGGAAATGGCTGAAGAAGTGAATTAATTCTTTGGTCTGCTTGTGTTTGTAGCTTTTGCTTGCTCTATAAACCTGTCTCAACCCAGGAGTTTTCTAGATTTTACCCTTCTGATTCTCTCCTTGATCCCATTGGTAGGGGATCTACCTATGCGGAACTTGGTTGCTGGCTGGAGTTAAACCACGGCAAGCTAAAAATCTTCAGCACCTACAGAGCCAGGAAATCAAGCTTAACTCAGAGTGAGCTTACTCCTGGAAAGGCCTTTCCATTCACTGTGCAGAAAAATCTAAATCCATGGAACAAATTATCTGGGTACAGTAACTGTAAGTGTACAACACTGGACTGTAATCAACTCTGCACAAGAACAATCAATTCTCCCATAATCCACAGGGCTGAGGAATGAACTAACAAACTCTAAAGTAGCTCTGCAGGAACCACCTTTGAACTAGCTAAGCTTACTAGTGGCTACATGCCATTCAGCCTAGTTTCACATCTCAGGATGTACATTATTCCCAGTTCATTCCAAATGAAGTATTTTCATCCATTACTCAAAATATCCCAGCCTTTTCTACCATAGACAAATACAAATAATTCTATGGATAATAGGTCACTGTCATTCATTCTTCCTAGACATGTTTTGAGTAGTAGAGACTACCTTAAAGATAAGCATTATCTGCATATTATCTAGAAACGGTATTGTTTGTTTACACTCAAATGCCAGTTTTTGTCCCAGGTCAGCACGAATCATTTGAAACCAGGTAAAGTGCTGACTCCCAGGAAAACAGGAAAAGTTTTATTTTTGTATTTGCAATAGCAGCCCTATATTCCAGACTTGAAACACGGAGTAAATCACAGCCTACCACCAGGAATTACGTCTTTTGTTGTTCTGTACTACTGGATCATCAGCAAGCCCAGTTCAGGTATTAAGCTTATTCAGCTTTAAAGGGCCTTTAGCAGGATATTCTTTAAGCAACTTTGAGACCAGATCTGTGTTCTGCCCTGCAATCCTGGGCAACAGGCAAACTTGGACAAGACATCAGCACTATATCCTTCAAAGATAGGAGCTAGACAGTCAGAGGGAGGTGCTTCTGCAGTATAAATTCATTTATTAAGTCAGGAACTCTGAAAAATATTCAAAATATCTGAAGATATATATAAACAGTAGCTAATTAGTTAGCAAGTATTTAAAACATACTAGGAAGGTTAATGAATACCACAAATAAACAATTGAGGAAAGAAATCTACTAAGATTATTTAAGCAATAATAATCATAAGCCTGTTATTTAGAGCAGTGCCACACCAAATCAAATTCTACTAACAAAATTCATGCCTTGAGTGGTAAGAAATAAAAGACACGGCTATGCAAAGTAACACCTACTCAAGAAACAGATAACCAACTAACCATACTCCTAAACAGAATCTTCAAAGATGGATTATTTCTACTGACCTAACTGAAGTTAATGATTGCCTGATTTTAACACAGATTTGATAGCTTTTACATTGTGCCTTCTTAGCATGAATTTCTTCAATTTGCTGCATCTGTTTCAGAATTCATCTCAGTTTTGAGACTTAGAGATGTACAGTCATTATATGTTCTTAACCACAATTTAAAATAATTTTGTGCAAGAAGCCCAGCCATCAGGACTTGTTTTATTAGCTATGTTTTGTTAGCCTTTTTCTTTCCTATGATTCAAGATATTGATTTTATTGTTACAAATCTGTTGTATTCTTGCACAGCTGACTCATGAAGCATCTGACTCTCAGACCTCAAATAATTTTGTAGACTGGGAAAAAATAAGGGGAAAATGCAGCTACCAATCTATTATGAAATCGAATATCTCTTACTGTGAGTCTTAGGTGAAGTTCTAACCTACTAGACAAGCCTTTATCCAAATAAAAGAAAAAAACAGCTTTTGCTAGAAGACTTAATGTCTGTAATGGGAAAATTTGTACTGCCTGCAGGGACAGCCTGACAAATCAATTAAGGCTTAGACTCTGTATAAAGATTTCACACAGCATGGCAGTACCCTGTTCTTTAGAAAAATACATCCCATTTTTACAGTGGCACACCTGCCTTCATTCAAACATGTTCTTAAGAAGTTTTGTACAAATCACTTCTATATCTGCTGAACACCTGATGAACTAAAAGTAGCTACTAGTAAAGCAGGAAAGAGAGAGAGGGGAAATAAAACAACTTCAAATAGGTGTTAGATTTTTCTCCAAACAGATGAAAAGGATTATATAAATAATTGCATAATAATCCTGCTAAAAAGTGCATTTACTTAAATTATATGTATTATATATATTTGGGGAATACAGGGAATGTTTCTACAGCAGTTTCAAAACTTCTTTCTCAGTTACTGGCATAGAGGCACCAAATTTCAAAATAAAACACTAAGAAAACTCACAGGTCAGATATTATGAGTTAGAGAAAGGTCTGGGTTTCCTTTTTTTCCCTGTCTTCTTTTTCTAGTGTTAAAACATGAGGTTAGAATACCAGGTCTTCCTTCTTTTTGTGGTCTCGACAGCAATGTAAGACTGTCTGACTTTAGTTTCCATGTGAGTACAATCAATATCCTTCATTTTAGCTTATGAAATTGCTATAGATTTGCTCAAACAATACAAGAGTCACTGTACGTATATTGTAACTATTAGAGTAGACAAATCAGGAATAAAACAATTAGCTCCTGCTACTAGCCTTCAAAGATTTCTAGCAGTATTTTCTACAGTATTTTCTTTTTATCCTAAAAGTAAAAACAGACGTTAATTTGCAAGTTTAATTCTAACCACACAAGAACTACTTGTAGTTTTAAAAAACTTCAGAGTACTTACCTTCCAACTGAAGAAAGTGCTTTACATGTGTAACTTGGCTTCCTGCTCAAGTTTTCAAGGTCATAAAGTACAATAACGCCATCTGATCCACCAGATAACATGCTGAAAGTGTTAATGAAGCACAGTAGTTAAAACACTCATAATCACAGTATGTTTAATATAATGAACGTGTTCAACAAGACAACAAATTCACAGTACCCAAACACAGTGAATTACTCATGGACAGTTGTACCAGCCAAAGTATATACTTACTATCTTCCCTCAACAGGCTCAATATCAAGGGTGTTGATACCACTTCCATGTATTCTTTCCACATCTCTATCTTTATTTAACTCCAAACTTAAAACTCTACCCACAAAAAAAAAAAAAAAGGAAGAAAGAGAGATGAAAAACATGTTATTATGAAAAAAAAAATGTTATTATGTAGCTCTGAACAGCTGAAATACACAATACAGAAATAGAAATAAGTCTTGTGAAGTTGGCAGAAAAAAAAAACTTTGTTGTTTGGAAGGTAAGAGAGAAATAAGTACATAAAACGGGCTCAAAGAAAAAGCAAAACTGCATTTTGGGTCAACACATTAAACAAAACCTGGAATGTAATTTGAAAACACTAAGACAAAGAAACATCAGAAGCTTGTAATCACCACGAGAATACTGGCTACTTTGAAGCTTCATCATGTAGGATCCTTTCAGGCTTCATCCTGCTTGGAACTACGGACACCTAGCGGACAAAGTAATTTAGTTTACCAAGTTTAAAGTATTTCCTTTAATGAAACTAAGTTTGTATGCAATATTTTCTGAAATACTAAATAAAAACCAGGCGACCCCCAATGATGAAGCTTCCACAACAATATTTTCTGACCTGCAATTCTTAGCTTGCATTTTTGAGTATGTAAATATTGCATAGTCAAAAAAGAGATATTTTGCTTCTTTAAGTCATACTACCTGATAGAAAATTTAACCTTGCAACATGATCACAGCCTCCCACGGCACCATTTAGTACAAAGCTCAACACCACCACAACAGAAACACAACTAGGTAAGTAAGTGAAAAGCTGTGAGGTAGAGTGCCCCTACTCAGCCTCAGCTCAAGGGGCAAAAAATCCTGATGTGAGAACCTTAGGCTGCTACAGGCAGGCCCCTATCATCGTGTCTGTAGACATGCTATAAAAGCAGCAAATCGTTTAAGCTCTCTTAAACTATGCGAAACATAATTATGCAACAATTCACCTAGGATAAGAATTCTGACATACACAAGATATCCAATTTAAAACCTTTGAGTTACAGATGGAATTTCAGGAAACACGAAATCCCCCTGTGGAAATGTGTTGAAATATATGACTTCAAAAAGCAGCTACAAATAAAATCCATTTAAGACTACTTTTGCTTTTTTAAGTCAAAATAAAAAAGTTCAGGAAGGGAAATGCTACGCAGACAATTGTCCAAGAAAGGTTAAGTTCGTCCAGTGGGTTACTGTTCTTAACACTGAATGCTACATGAGGGCTGAGGGCACAGAGGGACATAACTGTGTTGTCAAAATTCACCCAGAAACAAGCTTCCTGAGCTACCAAAATTAATTTCAATTTTAAATACTTGTTTTACAATGATACAGCGTCATAAATCCATAAATCGCCACCACAGATGCAGAAGTTGTGTAACTGAACTAAGACAGGCTTTATTTGATTTATCTTGAAATACACCTACAAAGTAGATTATCTGGTATTGAACAAATATCATATTACAACCTTTAGCAGGAATGTTAGTAAATCCGTCTATGCTGCCATCACTTCCCCCAAAAACTGCTAAGAAACCCCCTGCATCTGATTCTTCTTCAACCTGCCAAAAGGCCGGGTTTGGGAAAAGGAAGGACGAGCAGAGGAGGGCACAAACACCTGTTTGTTCCAAGCGGAGCACAGCCGCACGCAGTGAGAGCCCCTGGAGGAGCCGCGCCGACCGCAAGGGCGGTAACTCCGCGGTGCGGGGAGTGAGGCACAGCGTACTGCGCCGTTCACACTCCGCCCAGGGCTGAGCACACCGTACACAAACACCATGCCGGCCGACCCACGGCTGCAGCTCCCCCGCCCCGGCCCCCGCGCACACGGGGGCTGCGGCACCGCAGCGCAGCCCCTCACCCCGCCCCGAGCCGCCCCACTGCGGGCCGGGCCAAGCGAGGCTCCGCGGCAGGGCGGAGCCAGGAGCTGCCGCTCCGGGGCCTCCCCGCGCAGGGACACCCGCCCCGGCCCCGCTACCTCCGGGTGCGCTCGGCCCGGCGCAGCCGCGCGGGGTCGTCCAGCCCGGCCTGGCGAGCAGCCATGAGCCCCAACATGGCCGGAGCGCCGGGCCCGCTCTGCGCCGCGCCGCCATCTTGTGGCGGGCGCGGCCGGGATTGGCTCGGGGAGGGCCGGCCCCCGCCAATGGCCAGCGGCGTTGCTGGCGCGCCCGGCGCCCATAGGCGGGTTCGGCCGCGTGGGGCGGGGTGGCGCTGCGCGGGGGCGGGCGCGAGGCGGCGGGGGCGGGCCGCGGTCTCCGTGTCTCCGTGTCCAGGTGTCCGCGGGCGGGGTGCCGCGGCCTTCCATCGGGATCCCGGCATGAGCCGCGCCTTGCAGGCTCTCCGCGCTCTGCGGCTGCGGCTCGTGGGGCCTGCCAAGGAGCTGGTGGGCACCGACCAGTTTGGCAACAAGTACTACCGGGTGCCCAAGTACGAGAGCCGCGCAGGTACGCACCGGGGCGGTGGCGGCAGGCGGGCCCGGGGGGAGCCGTGCGCGGCGCCCCTGAGCGGCCCCTCACACGCCCGCCGCTGTCCGCAGCCGGCGGAGCGGCTGATAAAAAATTATAGCGGCTGAACAGTAGCGGGAAGGAAAGTGCCGCGCTTCGGGAAACACGTGCGGGTTTCTGGTGCTCTAATGCCAGAAAAACTGTAAAACCACTCACTGGAGGGTTTCAGAGCGCGGCCTGTACTAGGTAGGTAGGCAGCAATTATTTGCTCTTCTTGGTAATTCGGAGCGCTTCTGCATAAGCTTTTAAAAGCTAGAAGCTAGAGTCCAGAGAAGGGCAATGGAGCTGGGGCAGAGTCTGGAGCACAAGTGCTGTGAGGAGCAGCTGAGGGAGCTGGGGGTGTTTGTCCTGGAGAAAAGGAGGCTCAGGGGGGACCTCATCACCCTCTACAGCTGCCTGAAAGGAGGCTGTGGCCAGGGGTCGGCCTGTCTTAGGCAAGCCGTGACACAACCAGAAGAAATACCCTCAGGTTGCACCAGGGGAGGTTCAGGATTACGATAGGAGGAATTTCTCCATGGAAAGGGCTGTTAAATATTGAGACGGCCTACCCAGGGAAGAGTTGGTGTCACCGTCCCTGAAACTCTTCACAAAACCACTGGACATGGCACCTAGTACTATGGTTTAGTTTACCTGGTGGTGTTTGGTCTTAGGTTGCACATGATGATCTCAGATGTCTTTTCCAACCTAACTGGTTATGTAATTCCATGAAATTAATTCTTGCATGTACATTTATGCCACTGCTGTAGAAAATACTTTTCTAGATTTCTGCCCATGTTCCAAGAGTTTGGATGCCCTTATTCTGTATGTAAATAGAGAATAGGAGAGTTTGTATGGGATGTAATACTGCTGTGATTTTGTGAAAATACTACTTATGAAAATACTGATTTTTTTCTGTATATTTGTCACTTGTTCTGTATATTTGTCACTTGCTTGTTCTAAAAAAACCTTAATCATTCAGCAACAGCAGAATGACAGAACTCTGAAAGAAATAAGCATGCCTTCTGCTAACAAAGAAGAAATCGATGTGATTTTGGTTTTTAATGAAAGTGTTCAAATGTTGCTTTTTCTGTAGCACAGCATGTATCAAAGTATTGTGCTGCCACAAATTCCATTTCTGTGACCTCTTAATTTGGATACCCATTTTCATCCTCCATTTCCAGTTGAAATGAGAGACTGTCATCCACTTTCCCTACAAAATGGACTGCCTTGTGAATGTTCATTATTGTTTTAAGATATAGTGCTCCCTGACCTTTGTTGTTTGGGGTTACTTGGGTGTAGGAGATTGTATTTCCCCTCACACTGGTGACTCATTTCCACTGTAATTTATGCCTTTGCTTCTATGAATGGCCATCTTTGTGGTGCCTGGATAGAAAAGATATGAGGTTTCATCTATTCTAGATCAGGAGGGTATGCCAGTTCTCCCTCAGCCTTGTGGCTGAGCAGGAAAATCATTCTGACACTAGTTGAAGTGATTACAGATGGTTGCAACCACTGCTGTGGGTGGTGGTAACCAACTACCTCTCACAACATTTTTGAGCAGTGTCCTGTGCTCTACAAACAGGGTCACACCTGGAATTTGCGGGCTTTAATAACTTTGTGAAGAAGTTTAAGGATATGGATTGCAAAGGTAATAGAGATTGAGGAAGGTCTATAGAAAGTAGAATTAAAATAGACACTAAAAATTTCTGATGGTTTGTTTTTAAAAGAAACTAGGAATTAAAAAGTGCTGAGAAAGCAATGCTCTCTTTTCAAGTGTTGAGCAGCATTATTTGTAGTACTTTAGGAAGATCTGCTGCATGTATAATTCATAGCTCACCCAGTGTCCTAACCATATAGAGACAGTGCAGGATTGGAGCAACACTAGAAAGAAAACGAGTTGTAGATGAGACCAGTGAGCTGTTGTGGGCAGGTTTCACTGCAAGGTCACTGCAGTGTGTCTACAGTGTGCTTTGCTGTCTGCCCTATGGATTTAGGGAGGACTGAGTAGGTCTATCACAGTGCCAGGCCTGATGTGCTTGATCTCTTTGTACTGTACTGGATTTTGATCCAATATATCGCAGAGTGTGCAAAACAGGCAGGTCTTGCTTTCTCTCTCTTCCCTTAGACTGGGTAGGTATATCAGGACAGGCTGGGCTCTGCTTCAGACCAACATCCCACCTTAAGCTGGAGGTGAGAGTAAATAGTGTAAGTAGTGTCTGTGTTGCCTTCTGCTTTGATCAGAAGCCGCCTGACACCTTTCTTTTGGCCTGCCCTGGTCTTTGGCAGGGTTTTGGAACAGAAATAGTGGACAGTGTGATGCAATGAATTAATGTTTTCTTTCTATCTGTTGTGAATTGGGCTCTCCTACATTGAGTTCAGGGTCCAAAACACTTTTGGAACCTGAGTCCTTGTCTGTAGTAGGGGACAGTAGGAGCAGGTCAATGTATACAAGTGGTTGATGTTGAGTTTCCTAAGTGGTTGATGTTGTGTTTCCTTACACCTCCATCATCTGTGATTAAGAGAGTTTGCTTCTTTGATTTAGTCTGTTTTCCAGGACTGAATATCTGCAATATAGTCTTTGGAGATGTCAAAGGGGTACAAAATTTTTATGTATATGCTGCAAGTATGGCTTTCATATTGCCACGGCCAGTGTAAGTAATTTATTTTTCTTATATAACATACTGCCAGACCATTGCCATAGCTTTGGTTCATGATTAATTGTTCTTGCAGTAGAACATGGAGTGGGACTTAGAGTGTTCATATATTTTTAATTGAAAAACAAATTCCTCATACAATTTATGCATTTATTACAACCAAATATGTCTTGCTGGAAATAGCTGATTCTATTTTCCATTGAAAATAATTTATAAAGACTCTTAATAACCATTTTAGTTTAAAAATGCAGGAAGATAAGGGGCCCTAAATACTCAAGATCTGGTGTATAATTTTTTCATCAAAAGGCTGAGCAGGTTATATTTGCACATTTTCAATATCTTCATTTGCACTCATGTATTGTAATGATTAAGAGTTAAAATGAGCACTGTAAAGTACCACCATATGCAAATTTTTATAAGAACAGTAGGTTTTCATCAAGAAGTTAGTTTATTTCATAGATGATGTAAGAGTGTTAAAAGTTCTCTTCATGGGAGCAGCAGACTCAGGTTTGTTTTGATTTGGACTCTCAGCTTACCAGAATTGCTGGAAAAAGCAGAAAGCATTCTGTTTTCCATAGGTTTTTATATGTTGCACAGGCTCTGCATTAGGGGCCATATGTGGCCTAAGCTTCTCATGCTATGAGCTAAAGTTTCTCAGTAGTCTTATCAAATAGCATTGAGAAATATATGTGGCATTACCAAGTTTCAGTGGTAAATTTTGTTGCTAATAATTGAATACAAGCACTGTCTTCTGTGGGAAACATTTTCTTCGCGTGAAATGCCCACTCACATTTGCATAAGCCTGTATATTGTGCAGTAAATTCTCAATAAACCAAAAATGTGTAAATAAATAAGAACCTATATAAGGAAAAGTACTAAGTATTCAGTTGCATTATATATATATATATATATATATATATATATATATATATATATATATATATAAAAATTGTCCTATATCTGATTGAATCCAGTCTTCAGTAGAAGTATGTACACTTTTTAATGAAAGTTAGAAAGACTTAAGGTTCTGTTGAGACTAAAGGAATCCTCCATGATAGTTGTAGTTGCTCTTTGTTTCCCGTTTTTCCTGTTTTAGGTAGTGGCCTGTCACCTTCCTGTGCATTAGAAGTTTAGAGTAGAATTTCTACTTTCTTTCAAAATCTTTTATAAAATGCAGCTTTTTATTGAAGGCTAGACTGACACATTCCTGTAATGCTTTATGATGAATGGCAGAGAGTGGAAGAAGCAACAAATTTCCAAAGCATATCTTCAAAGATAAAAGCTATAGTTTTCTTCTGAGTCTGAATGTTAGCTTCCTCGCTAAGAGGAATGAAGTCTGAGGAAGAGACAGAAACTGGTTGTGATTGTATGAAGCATTTGTAAGCTGATTATTGAGAACTGCAGATAATTGTACATCATATTACTGAACATAAAAAGTAGTTTCTCAAGTTAGCTTTTCAAATGTTGGTGGAAAGCAAATAAATTTTAGTTTTACATGTCCAATGTTAAAATACTAATGAAACACAGAATTTGAATATTCATTCATGAGTAGAAAAACAAATTTTAGACTATTTAATTGTCTTGGTTATGGAAATAATTCTGTGGAGAAAGTGAGAGTTAGTTTGTTTGGTTTTTTTTTTCCATGTACAGACTCTCACACCACAGCAATGCCTGTCAGTTAGAGGTTTGTCCAGGTGGTGGCAACATTGTTTCAAAAACAGAGCAGCAAGTACTGACAGCTGTCTTGAGTATTCCTTTATGGAGAGATTTTAGAATACGGAAACAGAGTTCTAAAATAATTGGGTGTATGTATGTTTGTAAAGAAGTAAAACTTGCACTGCAGACTGCTAGTTTCTAGGGCAGTAATTCTGGAATGACAAAACAGCTTTTCAGTCTGGGTGATTCATTATGTAGCAAAGCAATTACACTTTGGAGAGCTCATTGCAGATTATAAAAGCATTAATATTTGAAAACATCCATCTTTGTTTGTGGTGATATAGAATCAAAAAGGTATGAAAAAGACTTTTAAAGAGGTACAGTAAAAGACTTTTATAACCTATATATATATTATATAACATATAATATATAATTATAAATAATATAATATAATTAAATATAATTATAATATGAATGTAATCATACATAATATATAATATATATTTTATATATATATAAAATAACCTATATTATAACCTATTTATAAACACCACCATGTCAACTAAACCACAGCAGTAACTGCTGTGTCCAGTGGTTTTGTGTAAAGTTTCAGGGATGGTGACACTACCTCTTCCCTGGGCAGGCCATTCC